TGAGTTTGTTGAGATTAATTCATACTTACCTCAACTATCCACCTGTGATTTTATTAATGTAATATTATTTTTAAGGTTGAAGGTTCGATTCGGGAGGTACATGAATGGATAAGAATCGCCAATACGCGTGTGACGTAATTCTTGAGAAATGTAAGGTTTCGGTTGTTTAGGAATAGTTTTATTAATCCGCTCTAACGTAAACTTGCTTCTAACATGTTCTGAACTGCGTTACTGGTTTTGGCCAAATCCAAGCCACTTAGACATTGCATGAAGCAGAAAACGAACACTAAAAATGAGTAAGAGAGAAGAAATTCTAACAGTTGAACTAATTTTGTCACAAACAGCTATTAAAACTCTACACTGGGCTGAAGATCAAAGAAAACTGACCGACTTTGTCCTTGACCGCAACCTTCAAGTAGGGACAAAGTTGTTTTTTTTTTACTGGTGTCGGAAAAGTTTTTTTTTTACCCTAGGCCCTAGCTGAACAAGTATAGGAAGTCACCCATCATGGCCGACCTATCGCCTTCACGCCCTCTAATCAATAGGAGGGGTTGTGACGTTACTCGGATTCTGGGGGGTGGGGGTGGGAGGCGGTGGGTAAACAGTTGATGGTTAATGGTAAAGTAGAAAATCTTTAGCAAAACAGTTAAAGCAATATACGCGTTCTTATGTTCACAAAATTGAGACTTAAAATTGCTGGGAGGTAATGTGTGTAACACCAAAAATTGTGTCTATAATATGTTTACTATTCGAAACAAGTAGGCTAAACATCAACAACTTAGCCTAGCGGTTTGGCGCTAGACTGCTAACCCGAAATTCTCGAGTTCGAATCCGGGTTCAAGTCAGTAAAACGGCCTTTAGTCCACCCAGCTCTAATGGATACCTAAGTCACATTAGGAAAAATTAATCAGCTGGACATAGTGCTGACCTCATTTATATTCCTTCACTGAAACAGATGAACTCTAATTCATTTGTCCTATTATCTTTGGCACAAACGGGAAAAGAAGATGATGAAAATATCAAAGGCATGCTTTTGGGTGTGTTAAAAAAAGATCTTATTATAGAGGCGTGTTTCGATTGAACGTCACAGAGATTCCTGTTTCTGTACAAGATAGATCACAACACCGTAACACCACGTAACACCGCTACACCATCGTACCACGCCACCACATAAATACACGTCGACAGTACCATATCCCACACAACACCAAGCTACACCATCTTTTCATCATAACACCACAACAGCACAAACTCCATCACTCCAAAACAATACAATAATACCACAGCCATACAACAAAACAACAAAACAACATTATGATACCACAGCCAAATAACACCACAACAAAACAACATTATGATACCACAACCGAATAAAACCATTAGAAAACAAAAAAATGATACAACAACCGAATAACACCACACTAAACCAAAACAGTGATACTAACCCGAACAATACCAAAGCCAAAAATAACAGCACACATCAGCACATACACGATAAATTCTAATACTTTTTTTCTACTTCCAGAATTGCCTGCACCAACCCACCGTCGTCTTGTGGACGGAAATGCCGCCCGTCTGTAAACTCCAGCACCCAAAACTTCCAGAAAGACGCGGAAAACAACGGACACCGTCTCCACCACAGCCACAACAGTCTCAGAACAACTCACGTTGACTTCCGCACCCCCCGGTACCGTGTGTGTAGGGACCGTTAAATTCTCGCCAGGATGGATATTTTAAGGAACGACACCGGCCGGATGGGTCCGGTCTACACATTTCACAGCGAGGCCGGTAGTGACGCCATCGTGGCCTTCACCCCTGTCCACTACCCCACCTCCACCGTGGATGGCTACTACATGGCGGATGGGGTGGAGCAGCTGCAGAAACCGTGGACACGTGAGCCGCACTTCATCCCTATGGTGGTCGTCTACAGCATCATCTTTTTGACAGGTGAGTTACAAGGTGGTCTGCAACAGGTACATCAGCATCTCCCGTCACAGGTGTTTTGTTAAAAAATCCACATTCATAGTTGTCTGTATGACACATTTCATTATAGGTGTCTGTATAACATCTTCCACCATAGGAAGCTTTTAGACGGTTTTAAACCTTCGTGATTTTTCTGTTCTCTGCTAAACATACCCCATCCTCGTCTACGCTTTACAAAAAACGATGTCTATATAAACAATTTCTCTTTCAATGATTCAATCTATCTTGACCTTGCTGCCGTTTTTTTTTTGCGCCAACATGAACTGAACTTCCGATCACACCTGACACCCTAATACATGATGTTAACCACTGATCGATCAATAGTTGGTTCTTTCTTGTTGTTAACCAAATGGATCTAATGGGAGGTCGCTAGCCAACCTGGTGGCTAAGCACAGCTTTCAACCTAATCCTTGCTTAATAACTTGTGGGCTGCAATTAAGTCTTCTCATGAAAGTGCAGCACTTTTAAGTTAGGCTGTTTTTTTTCTTGATTGGAGATACTTATATATATATATATATATATATATATATATATATATATATATATATATATATATATATATATATATATATATATATATATATTGTCCTAATATCTTTTGTCCTTGAGATCATTTGTCCTGAGATTATCAGTCCTTAAAATAATTTGTCCTGAGATCATTTGTCCGTGAGATATTTTGTCTGAGATATTTTGTATGAGATCATTTGTCATCTATATATATAAAAAGCAATGTATGTGTGTGTCTGTCTGTCTGTCTGTCTGTGTGTCTTTTATGCATTACCACACCTCTTATCACATCGCCGTGAAACTTTGGGAAGTTGTTGAGAATATTCCTGGGGAGGTTTCTGCGAAAAAAAATTTTCAAATTCGCAGGGGTGGCGCCCCGGCAGGGCGCGATTTGTTTTTCTCTATAAACGGTATATAAAAATAAAAATCTATTTTGATTTCACACTGTTCATCCGATAGCCATGAGACTTTGGGGAGTTCATTATACCACTCTAGGGAAGGGTTCTGTAAAATAATAATTTTTAATATCGAAGGGCGGCGCCACGGGAGGGTCCGATTTTTCTCTATATACGGTATATAAAAATAATAAAAGTGAATTACAGTGACATCGTTCACACGATCGCCATCAAACTTTGGGAATATGTTGAGAATGTTCCTGGGGAGGTTTCTGCTTAAAATACATTTTCAAATTCGCAGCGGTGGCGCTCCGGTAGGGCGCGATTTGTTTTCTCTCTATAAACGGTATATAAAAAATAAGAGTCGATTGCAGATTCACACTGTTCATCCAATCACCGTCAAGCTTTGGGGAGTTGATTAGAGCAATTCAGGGAAGGGTTCTGTAAAAAATCATTTTTAATATCGCAAGGGCGGCGCCACGGGAGGGTGCGATTTTTCGCTATATATGGTATATAAAAATAATAAAAGTGAATTGCAGTGACATCGTTCACACGATCGCCATCAAACTTTGGGAATATGTTGAGAATGTTCCTGGGGAGGTTTCTGCTTAAAATACATTTTCAAATTCGCAGGGGTGGCGCTCCGGTAGGGCGCGATTTGCTTTCTCTCTATAAACGGTATATAAAAAATAAGAGTCGATTGCAGATTCACACTGTTCATCCAATCACCGTCAAACTTTGGTTAGTTTATTAGAGCATTTCAGGGAAGGGTTCTGTAAAAAAAATCCTTTTTAATTTCGCAAGGGCGGCGCCACGGGAGGTTGCGATTTTTCACCATATACGGTTTATAAAAATAAAACTCGAATGCGGTTAATATGAGTGCCATAAAACTTTGGAAAGTAGATGAGAATACTCTCGAGAATATTTCTGTGAAAAAAACACCTAAAATTTCTTATGGGCGGCGCCATGGAGGGTACAATTTTCGTCAACAACGGTTTGGCGCCCAGAGTTTTAGAGCGACTATGTTGGCACTTGGCATCCGTTAATCGAGCGTCCTGCATAGCGAGTAAGGTGTACTACTATATTCAGCGGTAAAACTACAACAGGCTTCTAAAAATAACTTTGTAACGCGAAGGAAATCCTTCTGTCCGGTTTCGTCACCTTGCGAAAGATGAAAAAATAACTTTTTGAGAGCCTACTGTAGAGTTTCGTCACTTTGCGAATGATGCAATAAACATCTACTATTAGACAATCCAGTCAGAAATTGAGATCGAGCATCTAATAATAGACCATTAGTAACGCTAGCATATTGCATCAGTCACACTGATGTTTAAAACACGTCAAATACTTTTTTACGTGTTAAAGAAAAAAAGCCTGTTCATTTGTGGCACTTTAGCGAATGATGAAATCTGCATCATTATTAACAGGATGCTATTTGGCACGATGGCGCCTATTACTTTTAAGGAGCCAGGGGTCGTACGCCGCGCCTATGCGGTAGTGTAATCGGGGGGAGGGGGGTGGGGGCCCTGAGAACGCCTCTTTACGCTCTGACACAGAGGCGGTCACCGAAGTGTGTTACCAAATTATTTCGGTGAGTGATTAATGTACACTCAAGGTTTTCATGCCGTAGTGTAGGTAAACCCGTGTCCTGATATTTATGATCCAAGAACAGGCATTGTTTACATTTAAATAACTCATTTTTAGAAAAGAAGGTCACGCGTCTAAGAACATATAATTATAATTGATAACGCGTTGGTGAAATCCTAATATATTTCGTCAAACTTTCTTCTATCCCCGCGGCAACGCGCGGGGGTCGGGTACGCTAGTATATATATATATATATATATATATATATATATATATATATATATATATATAAATATATATATATATATATATATATATATATATATCAGTGGTGTAAAGTGGCATTACTCAGACAGAAATGTATTTGTTTTACTAAGATTTATGTCATATATCAAACCAGAGTAAATTCACTAAGATACTTGTCATATATCAACGTGTCTAGTATCGATGTAATCAACAAATTTCTCCCTTCCAGGTATTGCCGGCAACAGTCTCGTCATCGCCGTCTTGTGTTGGGGGAGGGCCGGAAATTGCGTCACGTTCCCTTGCCTGGTCAGCATGGCCTGGGCGGATGTTGTGTTCGTTATGGTGAGTAAAAAACTCAAACTTTGTTTTACGGAAAAATTAAAGGACGCTACTGCGGTTTTTGTTTCATCCTTTTGTGGGCGCACAATTTGAAACCCCGTGGTCTTTTCATGAACTAATTACAGCACATCAAGACAGGTTTGTGTTCAGATTTTTTCATCATGGGACCTCACAAATCTGACTGAAAGAAGTAAGGTGTAAAAAAATTGACGAAATCTGAAATCTGCAATTTAGCTTAAAGATTTTTAGTGTGTTAATGCGAAAATTGTGTCCAAATAATGGGGGATGTTTTAATTGCACGGATTTAAATAATAACCGAATTTTTTTTTGTGGTGTTAATAAAACAAATGTAATTAAATAGAAAACAGAGGGGAGACAATTTGAAGACAAAAATGTAATGAAAGTATTTTTTTTGTTCTTTGCACAGAAAATATCGAAAAATGTTTCCATTTCAATGTAAAGACTTTTAGCATAATTTGGAATTTAATTGCTGCGATTTAAGTTTGTTTGTTGGTGTTGTAATTTGTTAGATGGTTTTATTTCCATTCAAATTGGATTTCTCTTGAAGCGTGGCAGCATTGACAGATATCAACATAACGTCCACATTTACAAGCTTCAGATGTTGTTAGCAGCTACACACTGACATGTGTTGTTAACGTTTGTTAACTTTTAGGTAGATGCTAGAATCTTTTGGCTGCTAAGTATAGATTTAGAGGCAGTTAACTAATACATTGATGCTAGTACAGATTGCCATGAAAAGATAGAATTTTTTAATGTTTTAGTTGGTAATGAACATTAATTAGCGTTGTCTGATATTCATGCGAGACTGTTATTTAGATGATTTGGTTTAAATCATTGCTGATAGACGGAGACTTGGGATAAAGTTGGAGCGTGTTAATTTATCAAGCAATGGAAACAGGATAAATGTTTTGGTTTCAGATCTGTGTCCCCCACGCCATCTTCAACCATTTGTTTCAGATCTGTGTCCCCCACGCCATCTTCAACAATTTGTTTCAGATCTGTGTCCCCCACGCCATCTTCAACCATTTGTTTCAGATCTGTGTCCCCCACGCCATCTTCAACCATTTGTTACAAATCTGTCCCCCACGCCATCTTCAACCATTTGTTACAAATCTGTCCCCCACACCATCTTCAACAGATCTGTGTCCCCCACACCATCTTCAACAGATCTGTGTCCCCCACACCATCTTCAACAGATCTGTGTCCCCCACACCATCTTTAACAGATCTGTGTCCCCCACACCATCTTCAACAGATCTGTGTCCCCCACACCATCTTCAACAGATCTGTGTCCCCCACGCCATCTTCAACCATTTGTTTCAGATCTGTGTCCCCCACGCCATCTTCAACCATTTGTTTCAGATCTGTGTCCCCCACGCCATCTTCAACCATTTGTTTCAGATCTGTGTCCCCCACGCCATCTTCAACCATTTGTTTCAGATCTGTGTCCCCCACGCCATCTTCAACAATTTGTTTCAGATCTGTGTCCCCCACGCCATCTTCAACCACTTCATTGTTTCAGATCTGTGTCCCCCACGCCATCTTCAACCATTTCATCAGCCACTGGACACTGTCCCTGTTCCTGTGCAAGATGTCGGGCTTTGTGGAGAATCTGTCAGCCAACGCTACTGTACTCAACCTTATGTTAATCAGCATTGAGAGGTAGGTGGATGCCTGGTGGATCATTGTGGTTGGTGGATGTCTAGTGGATCAGTGTGGTTGGTGGATGTCTGGTGGATCATTGTAATAGGTGGATGTCTGGTGGATCATTGTGGTAGGTGGATCTCTGGTGGATCAGTGTGGTTGGTGGATGTCTAGTGGATCAGTGTGGTTGGTGGATGTGTTTTTGTCATGTAGTAGTTGATGGATCTTTTGTACCCAACTGAATTCCAAGAGTACTTAATAGTGAATTGTTTTCCCGATAAATCTGGATCAAGCTGTCTTATAAGGTGTTTTCATGTCTCAAATTATTATTTTATTGTTGTAATATAGGAACATATACCTAATTTAAACAATATTTAAATACTGGATTAAGTTAATTCTTAGACCACAAAGGTTACCCAATACATTTTCAGACTCGCACGGTTACCCACTTTGTGTCTTAACTTTATGAATTAAGGCACAATGTTCAAACCACTTTATACACAAAACTACCGTTGCACCCACTGTATAAGACCCACTTTACATACAAAACTATGCCGAATCCCACTTTAGTTGACCCACTTTACAAATAAAACTTCCATGGATCCCACTTTATTTGACCTACTTTACATAAAAAACTTCCCTGGATCCCACTTTAGTTGACCCACTCCCCGCGAGTCATCTGAGGGTGTAATACAAGAAAATAATGACGGGACAAATGCAGTAGTCGAAGCTGGCGTCTACTGCTCTGGGCGAGGGTCAGGCCTTATCGACCTTCTCCCTCGGTGTCGGGGCACGGGGTAAGATCACACAGGAACTCGGGTCTCTTCTTACAAAGTCCGCGCCTAATTTGGGCCCAGGTTCAAAGGTTAGGACGTGGGCATTCTGGGTAGTGGGCGTGTGAGCTGAACAGTGGGTCATTTGGTGCTCAACTTGGTCATTTGGTACTCAACTTGGTCATTTGGTACTCAACTTGGTCATTTGGTGCTCAACTTGGTCATTTGGTGCTCAAATTGTTCATTTGGTACTCAACTTGGTCATTTCGAGCTCAACTTAGTCATTTGGTGCTCAACGTGGTCATTTGGTACTCAACTTGGTCATTTGGTACTCAACTTGGTCATTTGGTGTTCAACTTGGTCATTTGGTACTCAACTTGGTCATTTGGTGTTCAACTTGGTCATTTGGTACTCAACTTGGTCATTTGGTGTTCAGCTTTGTCATTCGGTGCTTGGGTTGGTCATTGTTAAATACTGGGTTATTTGGCACTTTGGTTGATCAGTACTGGGTTATTTTGTTCCCAACTTAGACATCTGTAAACTTTGTATAATTTTGTTCACGTCTTGCCAATTCCAAGATATTGGGCTAAAGTAGACAGCGCCATAGTAGACAGACCCACTGTAGTCGCCATGTTGCATCCGATTTTATGCAAGATCAGATCAATGCTTGTTATCACTTAAATTAAAACAAAAACTTATTGAAAACGTTCAACCACACATAGCAAAAATATAAAAATAAAAAGAGTGACATTCCTTTACTAAACACTAGAGACAGTACCACCCTCGCCAATTAAAAGATGTCTTAAGCACAAGTCTACAAAAAACAATTGTCCTTACTCGTATCTCAAGTGCATGGGACCGACCATAAATGAAGTCACACTCCCAGGGTGATAATTGGGGGGGGGGGGGGGGCGGGCTTTTGTCATGAAATGTTACGAGGATTTTTTTTTTTTTAAGTTTGACGTCCAAGTTAGGTATTTTGTTACTCATGTATAAATTATTTGGTGTAAATTCCAATTAATGATCCACCTTCATCTTGATCTAGCTCATTGAACTGAGATTGTAAAAAAATAACTGGTTTAAAAAAATACAGCGTGTGGCTTGAAGCTGGGTTAGGATTAAGCGTGACTTACTTTAGTGACGAAGGAGGAGAACTTGTATTACAATATTATACAGCTATGGGATGGTGGGGAGCAGTGGCGTAGCGACCCCTCCGGGCGCCCGGGGACAAACTTTCAATTTGGCGCCCCCCCCCCGAATATATTTTTTATATCTAGAATTCAAAATAGCAGCTAAAATGAGCTTATTTTGGCACCCCTAGGGGCGGCGCCCTGGGAGATGTGCCCCCCCCCTTCGCCACGCCTCTGGTGAGGAGTAAAGAAATAGGCCAATAAAAGTAGCTTCAATTATAGACCTTCATGACGTCGTTTTCATACGCTACAAATTTAAAATATTTTTTTAAAGTAGTAACGACACTTAAAACTGCTTTTATAAACCGTTTACAGTCAAGATTACATCATCATCTACATTACAAGTGGGGGGTTTTCTGGGGGGGAAGAGCGATTTTAAAAAAAAAATCAGCCACAAAGTGTTTCTTCCAGACTTTTTTCTCCGGGGGGGGGCACTTGAAATTTTCGGGGGAGGTGGGGGGCGGACTAAAATTTCCGGTGGATTGGGGGCGGACACTGTTGAAAGTATATATTTTCTATATAAATTCCATTTCGTTCCGAGGGGGGGGGTCTCCCCTAAGAGATGCCCGGAAGAAACACTGCAGCCACATCAAATTTTAGTAGATCCAATATTTTAATTCTTATATGGCAAGCCGGTCACCTAGAAATAGAAGACAACTTAATGAAATCTTTATCTGAACAGCGAACCGCTAACACTCGAATGAATCCGAAATTTTAAAAAACCCTCAGCAACATTATAAAGCTGTCTTTATATTCTGTTGTTGCTCGTGTATTGTTGTCTAAGCCTCGATTGAACATTTTCAAAGCGTAAAGCACACAAACAGACTTACACGAGTTCTCTCCGCTTGTGGTGTTTACAAAGGATGAGCCGCGAAGTAGTTTGTGTTTTGAAATGTAGAAAAATGAAGTCCGCACAATGAGCTGGAAAGAAAGAGGAATAAACATTTTTAAAAAAAGGATTAATTGTGATTCAATAATGTTATTTCCAGAGGCATAGAAAAAAAAGCTTTTAACGTTAATAAATATTTAAAGAAGATTTGCATGGGTTGGGGGGGGGGGGGTTACTTTAAAATCGGGAACGGAGCTTAAGATTAGAAATAATTTGCTCGCATTGGACGGATATGATTTGAAAGATGGGCTGCGAATGGGGAGAGAGATAGATTTTGGGTGTAATTTTGATCAATCGCTGGGATAAAATGTGTGGATTATTGAAGAGAAATTGAACGATACAGTTCATGTTTTTTTTTTATTTCGGGGGGGGGGTCGTAAGGGGATATTAATTTGTATAAAAACATTAGCTGTCACAAAGAATCTGTTAATTAGAAATAATTGGTGCATCAAACAGCGGGGGTTTAAAGTTAACCGTGGCTTCAAAGGTCTGGAGGTTTGCTAGTCAGGTTAAGTACATATTATTTGGCCATTTTATTTTTCATCGCAATATTTTTTTTATTGAAACCTATGGTTGGCACTGTCTCTCAGTGGTCAGCACTGTCTCTAGCTGTGGTCAGCGATGTCTCTAGCTGTGGTCATCACTATGTCTAGCTGTGGTCAGCACTGTGTCTAGTTGTAGTCAGCACTGTGTCTAGCTGTGGTCAACACTGTCTCTAGCTGTGGTCAGCGATGTCTCTAGCTTTGGTCAGCGATGTCTTTAGCTGTGGTCAGCACTGTCTCTAGCTGTGGTCAGCGATGTCTCTAGCTGTGGTCAGCACTGTCTCTAGCTGTGATCAGCACTGTGTCTAGCTGTGGTCAGCACTGTCTCTAGCTTTGGTCAGCGATGTCTCTAGCTGTGGTCAGCACTGTCTCTAGCTGTGGTCAGCGATGTCTCTAGCTTTGGTCAGCGATGTCTTTAGCTGTGGTCAGCACTGTCTCTAGCTGTGGTCAGCGATGTCTCTAGCTGTGGTCAGCACTGTGTCTAGCTGTGGTCAGCACTGTCTCTAGCTTTGGTCAGCGATGTCTCTAGCTGTGGTCAGCACTGTCTCTAGCTGTGGTCAGCGATGTCTCTAGCTTTGGTCAGCGATGTCTTTAGCTGTGGTCAGCACTGTCTCTAGCTGTGGTCAGCGATGTCTCTAGCTGTGGTCAGCACTGTGTCTAGCTGTGGTCAGCACTGTGTCTAGCTGTGGTCAGCACTGTCTCTAGCTGTGGTCAGCACTGTCTCTAGCTGTGGTCAGCACTGTCTCTAGCCGGCAATCGAAAATGCGGTGTCCTTAGTACAACAATGACCACTATGCAATGTTTCAAGTGCAACTATGACCACCACAATTTGGATGCCATAAGTGCACTGACTGAAGCGCATGCGACACTAAGACAGTCCGGACATCAGCTGATCGTTAGGATACAAATCTTGACGGCCATCTTATGAGGTCAACTACCTATTTTTTAGTTGGCCGTCTCTTCAGGTCAGCTTTCTGATTTTTTTACTCGGCCATCTCTGACAGTCACTGGCTATTGCCTCGACGGTCGAATATTCTACCACCAAGGTAATGAATCGTCGAAATGGATGTACGATTTCACGAAAACTACTTTGGCCAACAACTTGACAGCCATCTCCTTGACGGCCAAAGACTTGACGGCCATCTTACTAGAAACTTAAAACTTAACAACCAATAATTTGACTCTAACCAACTTGACGGCCATCAACTTGACGGCCATCTACTTGACGGCCATCAACTTGACGGCGATCAACTTGACGGCCATTGACTTGACGGCCAGCCCCCCACACAGCCACAAACATACAAAACCCCAGATAGCAGAGCATGAAATATTAATTCTCCCCCAGTCTTCCCGTCAGGGTTCTTTAGGTGCTCAACTACCGTGTCCTTCATCAAATTTTACAACGTCTTACGTTAAAAAAACATTTTATTTCATTAATGTTGCCTTCATAGGCTCGGTTAACCCAGTGAAAGCAGTTCACTAAAACCACATCAGTTGACCAAGTGTAGGGGGTGGAATGTTGCGTTAGAACACGCTTGCAGGCACAGTACCTTTCTTGCTCGGTTACATGCGAGTTGAGATCATAAATCCTTTAGCCAGTAGAGATTTAATGACCCTCTTGAAA